TCTTATCTAGTCTGTTTAGATAGTTAAAGTGCCGCAGATTGTACGAACATGCTGTCGATTCGTATCCTTTTCAAACTCCGTTCTCGAAGCACTTCAGTTTTCCACCCCGTTACAGCTCTATTAGGAGGCGTCTCGTGTGTCCCATTATAACTCAATTTAAAATTGCGTATGATTATATTTTTGACATATTAAATTAATATTGACACATTGACAGCTGCCTGTACGTCAACTTTGTAGACGGCCTGCCAAAACAAACTCTCCCACCCGCCCCGCTCTAACAACCCATTACAAAACTATCTACGTCCATGTCCACGTCTCGAACTCTGAGTCTGAGTCTGGACGAGCGGCTGTCGTCGCCGACCACCCGCTGACAGTGTTCTGTGCCCCGATCAAACGATGCGGGCGCCGATCGAAACTGAAAACAAAACAAGTAGAGCGTATACCCTGTAAATGCTAAGCAACCCACATTCATACATGGGCCTGTTCTTGCCCTTAGCTATGTATACATTATGATAAATGTATTCTAAAATAACTTCGGTGTTTATTGTCCGATCTTGAAGATGTCACTCAAAAGTGTATATAATTTATATAAGGTATCTATATTTAAAATCAGAACAATATATTGGAAGAGTGGGTGAAGAACATCAAGAACTAAAATATGATTTACTCTGGCACTTTTTAAAAATATGCTTAAAAACCTTGCTGCAACTCGATATTTATCGATTTTGGGAAAAAGAGCGTTGTAATCGGTAGTTTTGTGGCTTATATACGAGAAATTATGGTAATTCCTAACGGCCTCTAGATCTTATAGTCCCTGCGATTGTTCTTAAAGATACATCAACTCGAACATAGCTAAGTCGACCCAGTTACTCATAACTGTTCAAGAATATATAATACATATGTATATTTTTTTCAAGTCGCATATGCCTTTATTAACTCAACTTCTATATACCCCTCTTACTGCCTTCCACTAACTACAGGGTATTAAAATAAAAAATATTTGCTTCAAATTCTCAAATTCGTGCGCTAATCATGCGCAACGTTTACTTTCGGTAAAAATTTTTAATTGCCGCTTGAAACGCCACAGAACAAATGGGAACCATGCGCTTTGGTTCCGTGGAAATCGGCAGTGTCATCATTTTGGGATTGGGTTCTGTTGGGGTGTGTGCGTGGTGTGTGTGCGTCGTGTGTGTGTTGAGTTTCCCTTTATCTAAAGCGCGCCTGGGAAAACGCGAGCTGGCTTAATTGATAGTTAGATAGATGGATGGATGGATGGATGGTTGGTTGGTTGGTTGGTTGGTTGGTTGGTTCCCTGAATGGCAACACGTACAAATAGATACAAATGGCATCGCACAAAGGTTCTTATTTTTAATAGCTCAATGCGTATCTGTTTGATTTGCCCAAATTGGTCGTTGGGCTCGAAGTGCAAAGTAAACATTAAATTGGCGCAAACTAACAAATTGTTCAATTTTTGTTGGGTGAGCTTCATTCGATTTGGGTTGGGCTCAACCAGATGTATCGAGCTAAGGTGCGTGGGCTCAAATTGAACATCAATTGATAATAAATATTTTAAAAACTTGTAGTTTGCACCTCATAAGAGTTTGAAGTGCTAGAGAGGAATTTATCTCTTTGGGGGCCAAGCTTCTTGGAGAAGCCAGCGATATATGATGAGATCTTGTTTTAAGCTTGGGAAAATTAGGATTTCAGCTTAATCCAGAACAAAATCTGTTTAGATTTGGGAATGTTCTCGGAAGTCTGAAGTCAAACGAGAGAGTAAGGATATATTGGGTACACCGAAGATATAATTCCCTTGCTATACGGTTTTGCAGATTGAAGAAAATAGAAAACTGTGTATTTTGCTGTATAACAATTTATTTTTCAACTGATCCCATTACAGTATAATATTATATTATCAATATAAGATTTAGTTCATATTTTTAATAAGCAGCTTATTTTCTACTAATAAATATCTTCTTCTATACATTACACATTTCATTAGAAATGAGAATACTCTATAAGGGTATTAAAATGAACCAGTCCGGAATAGTAGAGGCATTTACCAGGTACTTGTCAACTTTATTTCTTAATATTTTTGCTATATTTCTTAACAGAAGAATTGATTAGCTTAAAAAGTCCTTCAAGATAGGGTATAGATAGATATATAGAGAAAGTTAATGAAAATTTCTAGATGCTAGTATAAGAAATCTTTTTATTTCAAAACGAAGATTTGTGAATATTGGTAAATCAATGCTATTTCCAAAATGTTTCAATTTATTATTATTTATTTATTTATTATTAAATTTTAAATGCAAAATAATATAAAAATCAAACCATGGCCAAAATGTTATTAATCATGAATATTGTTTAAGTTTTAACTAAATTATGAGAGTTTGAGTTATAGTAAGGGCATGCACTTAGGAAGTTTGTACGTAGAAAATTTTTTAAATTTGTAACATTATTTTTGAGAGCAAAATAGATCATCTTGAAATCTTTGTGAATACTAATTTTGACATTCTCAATCAATGTGTATTCAGTTGAAAATGAATCATAAGTTTAAAGCATTCGCTTCTGGGTACGCTCGCTTTTTACACATCGCAGATCTTTTGGTATTCGGTGGCCAATTTATCTTGGCTACAAAGTATCTTTATGCCACCGTTTGGCGGGCCGCGCTCTTTGGACCGTTCTCTTCGGTTGTTCGGACACATTTCGTTGCACGCAATTCAATTTCATTGCACCGTGGCAACATTTTGTGTCTTGGCTGCTTATGAATGAACTTTTCGCTGGCAGAGCCGGAGTCGGAATCAGGTCTGGACTGGGCTGGTCTGCTCTCCATAGCTTTGGGCTGGGCAGTCCATCATCGCCCACGCTTCCCCTCGCGCCGTCCCGGCCCCCGACCCAACCTATCGTCGCAGTGCAGTTTCCTTCTGGCTCGCTTCATTGAAGCGTGCCAATTTTCATTGAAATGTTTCGGCGTCTTCTGTTGTGCTCTGGGGGTCTTCTTTTACATTTATCTTTAATTTGTTTGCCTGTGTTACATGTGACTTTTTATGGCATTTTTGGTGGCGACACAGCAGTTGTCGGCAATGCTTTTTACTGCCCCTCTCGGTGCGCATTTGCAAGCATTAAATCATAATTCATATGAGTTAAACCGTGAACCCATTGAAAATATGTGAAAAAGGGCATAATTTTCTTGTGCGGATATATGTAACTGGCAGAAGAAAGCATTCCAATCCCACAAAATAATTATATTCTTGAGCAGGACGCACTTTCCTTCTGTCTGTCGATCTATCTATATCTTTTCATATAGAAGAAATCTTTAATGCTCAGCACATTAGCTTGGTTGCAGGGTATCTCCGAGTCGTGCACTCCCAGCTAGACTTTACTTTTTATTGTTTTTTTTTATTACTTGTTTTATCTGCTGTCTAGGTTTGCCTAGTTTAAACAGCTTTCTGCTTATCAACAGATTGCATTTTGTTTGTACTGAAAAATGTCGCAAGCCTTAGCTAAAATAGTCGGAATTATATTTAAAAATGTTTAATTGAGTTGACGTTCGTCAATTGCGCACGATTTTCAATTCAATTGTTTGGCTCAAGTGATTTTCATTAGCGTTTTCCACCGAAAAGGAAATGCTAACGTTATTGTTCCGAGGAAAATCCCGATTCCGTAACGTGAAACAGGTTTCCCCTTCTTTAGCTAAAAAAAAAAAAAAAATATGCAGCTTTGTTGCTTGGTGTAATCCAAAGCCTAAATTATGGCTTACAAAATTTGCTTGATTGTTATTTGATTTTATTTTTTGTTCAATTAACACACACTCTAATTTACTTTACATGCATTTGCTTCTCGTTCAACAAGTTTTCATTGCATGGAGTTTCGTTATTTTTGCATATTTTAAGCTTTATACAAAGCGTGACCTCAGCAAGAGTCCGGTGAATGCGTGTCGGCGTTTACAGTGTTGGTAAATCGCTTAGCATTCACTTAAATTTACCAATACGCATATTTGTAAGAATATAATTATAACTTTAGCATAAATATTTATGCTACGAGATTAACGTATTATGTATTATTACTTATGATTAATAATACTACAAAATTATAAATCATAAATTCTTATTAATTTAAGGAAATGGTGCAAATTAATAATATTAAAATAAATACAAATCAATTTGTATTATCTTAAGGAAACATTGTTTAATTAGCTGTCAAAAAATAATTGCTTTTTGAAATGTGGATTTAGTAACATTCAAAAAACATTAAGAATAACGACAGAGTATTCGTAAGCCAGTTATGCATTGCCAAAGAGCTCGCAAATCATTAAATAAACTGAAAGGCGAAACAAGTCCATTCATCTTTGTTAAAAAAGTTCAATGGCATGACACATAACTGGTTAACAATACCTTTTATTACTTAAAAAGTTAACCACCTAACCGAATTTTGAAATTTCTATTCAAATGCAATATCATCCGTCTGACACGTGCATCAATTACATGTGATCGATCAATCGATCAGTCGCACAATTGAGATCAGTTCGACTGCAATTATTTGGCAAGCTGTGATTACGTGTGTGTGTGTGTGCGTGTGCATGCCAATCAATTGCGACAATAATACATTGTATACATGTTCATGCATATGTATAATTAGAGAATCACTGAGCAAAACAAATAAGCGATAACAAGTACAACAAATACGCTTCAAATACATATTCGCACGTCGCAGCGCGCCAGGGCTGCATTCGGCTTCTCGATCAGCGCAAAGGCACAAAGCATAGACACACACACACACACACACAGAAACAGTTATTTATTGTGCCTATTTTGACTTTGTTCGAGCGCACGCCAAACGTCTTGAATTGCGTTTTGCTTTATGCCGCCGCTGCAGTCGTCGTCGACGCCGACGCCGTCTCCGATGCCGACGCTGACGTCGACGTCGACTGCGCTGATTACTCAAGCAAAAGTTAAGGTGCTCGCGTTGTGCTCGGTCAGTGATAACCGCAACTTGCTGAGCAGCGGACGCGCTTTGCAGCTAATCAAATTAAATACAACATTTATTATTTTCAACAAAATTTCGTCTATCGCAAGCTTTGAGTAAACAAAAACGAAGGTGATAACGAAAAAAAGAGTGCTAATTAAAACGATAATACTAATAATAATTTTGATATAAGAAACAAACATTTATTTTGCTTTTTTATTAAGGCAACAATAAATGCATATATCAAAATGGATTAAAATCAAGTTATAAGAGAAAGATATTTAAAAATGTTAACAAACATTTTACATAAAATAACCCAAAAGAATTGCAAATAAATTTTGTTTAAAATAATTAAATAACATTCAATTTGACATTCAAAAATTTGTGAGAAAAATTGAACAGACTTCCTCAAGTGTTTTTTTTTTCGGAAGAGAAGAGGAGAATATTTAAAAAAAAAACGATTTTTTTATATGGGGCAACGATCAACAAGAAGCTTCAATTAAATAAATTTAATAAACCTTTTGAAAAAAAAAACTAGAATGAATCTTAAAAAAAAAATACAATCATTGCTTTGTTAAAATTTAATTGAATAATTTTCTAAGCGGCAAAAAAAATTTAATTGAATCTAAATGAAAATATGAACTTCGCTTTGTAAAGAAGCTTTAATTGAATAAATTTAATAAAAAACGACAAGAATAAAACTTAAATAAATTAAAACTAAAATACAAACTTAGCTTTGTAATCTTTACTGAATAATTTTTTTAACGCTAACTTAAAGTAAGTCGTTATTAAAATATATACTTTGCTTTAATTAAATTAATTTAAAATTATTTTAAATAATTTCACAAAATAAACTCTTAATTAAAAAATAAACTTAACTGAAACTAAATTTTGAACATATGCGTCGAAGATTCCAACATTTGAATATTCCAACTGAACTAGTTTGAAACTCAATTATTGAATAAAAGAATTTAAATATATTAAAAACTTAAGTAAAATAGATGATTGTCTCATATTTTGACAATATATATTGTTTTCCTTTAAGCCTGTCAGACTTGAAGCAATCATTTAGGAGCTGAGTTTAAATTGCAATTAAATCTATTTATGATGTTTCCATTCGTTCCCCCCGAGCAAAGTATATAAAAGATATGCTTCTTCTTCAGCCCTTTTTAATTGCACTTTTTGAATAAAGATTTTTCCAAGCTGCAACAGATTGTTAACTAATTAGCCAATTAGAGGCTAATAGAGGCGTTTATGTGTGAAGCTTCAGCTCGGCTTAGAACAGAAAACCTTGGCAGAGTCTAGAGATCTGAACAGGTGCTTAAAGGCCGTTGCGATTAATAAATTACTGTTATTTGGCTTAACACTAATGCAAACAAATCTGTTGCGGGGCTTAAGGAAGAAAGTCATTCGAAACGCAATATATACCTTTTATGACTCTACACGATATATAATCTATATGCATATGCATGTGTATTTGTACATTTGAGCACATTGCGAGACTAGCGCTTCATTTAATTTATGTTTTAGCTTAGCCACCTTTCGACCAAAGTACACTGTTTTTATTTACTTTTGTTTTTGTCGAACGACACCTAAATAAACAATAAAAGTTGATATATTTATATATTTATTTGTGGCGCAGCCCGAATTTAATTTGAGCTAATAAATTCCCGAGTGTTGTGTCAGCTCTTGTTTGTGTTTTTGTAATTTCAAGCCGATTGTTTATCCAATTGGGTTAACTAATACTTAAAAGTTAAACTATTTATAGCCAATTGGCATCAGTTTGTAATCTGCTCTGGCAATGCGAAGTAGCAGCACACCCAATTAGTGTCCAGCCATATAAGTCGAGTGCCAATAAGAATGCAGTCCCGCCTAGTTCGCATTTTTATGCACAATTCATAAATCAAATGAATAATATTAAAATGATGAAATTTACTTGTTGCATTTCAATCAAACGTTTAAATCGAACACTTGCTCAAGAACAGAAACAAGACAGATCAAATATGAACATATAGAATAGATCCGAAGAATCAAATACCCTTGCCGAAGTATGACAAATGAAGAACATTCAAACTAACAACTCGACTTTTACTTTGAAAATGGGAAATTATTAAAAAGAAATTTAAATTAAATTCATATTAATGGATCTTGGATGGCGGGATTTATCGGCATGGCACACTGATCACGCGACAGATAGAACATGCAGAAAAAAAGAATCGATTTCTTGAAATTTATGTTGTAGCTTGTTGTTTTTGAATATTTTGTTTACCGCTTTTCAACACTGTTGAATATAGAATTAAGTACAACAAAAAATTTCCCGTGAAAATATCCCAACGATATCATAGTATATAAAGTGCAGAGTGTTATATTGAAATTTTGAAATTTTGAAGTCTATGTTAGCTTTTAGGGACTTTTTAGAGAATTTCAATAAATATTTATTAGTATATAAATGTTTATATTGACTTTAAAATATAATTCTTTACCTAAATTATAAACTTGTTCAAAATAATTAAGAATTTTCAAGTTTTGACAAAAACAAAGAAAAGAATTTACAATTTTTGACAGGCAGATAATTCTGATCGTATGTGATATATGTTATTTGCCTAATGGAATCGAAGAAGATTTCTTAATTAGCTTGCAAACATGATGTTAAAATGATAATAACCATCTTTTACTCTATACAAAGAAAAATAGACACTTTATGTGATTTTAATGACTTAAATTATAAATGAATACAAAAAATATTGTATAACAAGTTGCATTAGCATAATTAATGGGAGACTAGTTCCCAAAGAAATAGATAGATGTTAATGCAGTCAGTTACTTGTTTTTAACAGAAACATATTGATAGGGTAGGTCTCCTTAAATGTGTGTTGCACATTTCCTGCTTAAATCGTATACTCTACCTGAGGTTGTAAAGAATATTACTTGATTACACGTACAGCAAAATTATGGCATTAAGGAAACACAATATCATGTTTGTCATTTTGCGTATCGCATGTTAAATCAAGCAACATTAATCCATATGCAAATATGGCTCGTTTATGCAAATATACAAATGCCACTAAGTATGGCAAATGAAACGGAATTAATTATAATCTGGCACTCATAACTGACATTTTAATTGCCGTTGCAGATGCAGCTGCAATCGAGCTCTTTACTCTGGTACGGACTATTGGCCGTATGTGGACTGGGCGCCGATGCATATCGTATACTGTTTATGGGGCCCTTTCCGGCGCCTAGTCACTGGATGTGGCTGGAGCATTTCCAGCGCGACCTGCTTCAACGTGGACATCAGGTGACCAGTCTCAATAATCATCCCACAAAGACGCCGCATGAGAATCTGACTGAGATAATACTCAATCCCATCTTCGACATACCCAAGCACTGTGAGTATAAAGCAACTTAAGCTTAGTAAAACACCTACCAAATCTGATCACGATGTTCCCATGTGAAGCACTTTTTAATGCACAACATTTCTATATGCTCAGATCTAAGAGAGTAGCCTAATCTAAGAAATTTGGTTGTCCGATCGAGATCTTTCAAGTTCTTAGACCCTAGTTTTAAGTTCAAGTCGATTTTATACTCTGTTCACTCAGTGGAATATAGTATATTTATGATGTAGAATTCACGTCGTGCTGTCCGTCCGTTTGTTTGAGCCACATTTTTATACCCTGAACCCATTCAAAATGGGTATAAGGGTATATTGTATTTGTGCGAAATCCAAATGTATGTAACAGGCAGAAGGAAGCATCTCCGACCCCATTAAGTATATATATTCTTGATCAACATCAGTAGCCGAGTCGATCTAGCCATGTCCGTCTGTCTTTCAGTCCGTCTGTCCGTCTGTCCGTCCGTCCGTATGTATGAACGCAAGGATCTCAAAACCTATAAGAGCTAGAGATGTAGGTGCTCCTAGTGCCTGCGCAGATCGAGTTTGTTTCCGATAATCGATAACTTACTCCATTTCCAAGCAATCGATAAAAATCGATATCGATATCCTGTTTTTTGGGAAATTTTGGTAAATAATAAGAGCTAGAGTCACCAAACTTGACATATAGCTTCTAAAATAGAATATATATATGCATTTGATGTTGGAAGAAGAGAAGGGAGCTCCCGACTAGAACCTCATACTTGTTTAATATTTTGTCATGCAAATGGCTTGGGTATGCAAAGTAAGTATATTGATTTAGATAAAGCTACCTATTTATATGGCTTGAATAAATCCAGTGGAGAGTCCTCGATCGGGACAGTACTTCGTTTAGCATAATTTAATGAATCTCACTTGATATACTCCAAAAAAGATGGACTTTGCAAGCGAAACGTTTTTTGGCCAACAACTTTTTTTTAATGAATGCCATATGATAGTATTCGAACCTACTCCGATTTTGGAAAAAAACGTTATGTAACCCCTTGCTTTTTGGTCGATTTGGCTCAAAATTTAGATTTTTATTTTTTTGATGCCAATCGATAGTACTGATCCTTACGAGTCAAAAATAGTATAAAATTCCAAAATCTGAGATTATTTGGCCGAGATAGTCTAAAAAAATTATCAAAAAGGTTCATTTTACAAACGAAACGTTTTTTGGACAACAACTATTTCCAACCAATCAATTTTTAATTTTTGAACGATAGTAGGGATTCGTGCGAATTCAAAAAGATATAACATTTCAAAAACAGGATATATTTACCCGAGAGTTAAAAAAAAATCGACAAAAAAGTTTATTTTGTTTTAACTTATATATGTTTATTGCATTGAATCAAAAAATAGCATACATTTTTATTACAAAACCGTTAACTTAGGTGGTATCTCGCCAATCCTGGTTGGCTCCTCAGGCTTTATCGTGGACAAAAGTTAAAGCCGTCTTTTTTGAGTAAGGCTGCACCGTCACGTTGGTAGTCGGTGGGCTCTGGGGCTTCTCCTGTGTCGTGGTCTCTAAAGGATCTTTTCTTGAGCCTTCTGACTACACACCTCACAGCGAGGTCTCTTTTATGGGTTGGCGAATGCTTCGACTCTGCGATTACTTGGCCGAGATAGTCTAAAAAAAAAAAACAAAACAGGTTGATTATACCAACGAAACATTTTTTGGTCAACAACTTTTTCCAACCCATCAATTTTTAATATCTTTGAATGACATATGATAGTAGGGATCCGTACGAATTCAAAAAGGTATAATATTTGAAAATCAAATTATATTTAGCCGAGATTTTCAAAAAAATATCCAAAAAAGTTTGATATTCAAACCTACCCCGGGTAATAGCTCTCGGGTAATAGCTCCGCGCGGAGATATGACATTCCAAAACGACATAGCTCCGCGGGGAGATATGACGTTCCAAAACGACATAGCTCCCGCGGGGAGATATGACGTTCCAAAACGACATAGCTCCCCCGGGGAGATATGACGTTCCAAAACGACATAGCTCCGCGTGGAGATATGACGTTCCAAAACGACATAGCTCCCGCGGGGAGATATGACGTTCCAAAACGACATAGCTCCGCGTGGAGATATGACGTTCCAAAACGACATAGCTCCCGCGGGGAGATATGACGTTCCAAAACGACATAGCTCCGCGTGGAGATATGACGTTCCAAAACGACATAGCTCCCGCGGGGAGATATGACGTTCCAAAACGACATAGCTAACCCCTTGCCTTTTTGTCGATTTGGGTCAAAATTTCGAATTCCCCTTTCTTAATGCCAATCGATAGTACTGATCCTTACGAGTCCAAAATGGTATACAATTTCAAAATCTGACATTATTTGTCAGAAATATTGCAAAAAATCATCAAAAAAGGTTGATTTTACAAACGAATCGGTTTTTTGTCAACAACATTTTTTAACCCATCGATGTTTAATTTGTTTGAATGCCAATTGATGGTAGGGATCCGTACGCATTCAAAAAGGTATAACATTTTAAAATCAGACAATATTTACCCGAGATATTGAAAAAAAAATAATCAAAAAAATTAGATTTTCGAACCGACCCCGATTTTGAAAAAAACGTGATGTAACCCCTTGCCATTTTGTCGATTTGGGTCAAAATTTCGAATTCCCCTTTCTTAATGCCAATCGATAGTACTGATCCTTACGAGTCCAAAATGGTATAAAATTTCAAAATCTGACATTATTTGTCAGAAATATTCCAAAAAATCATCAAAAAAGGTTGACTTTACAAACGAATCGGTTTTTTGTCAACAACATTTTTTAACCCATCGATGTTTAATTTGTTTGAATGCCAATTGATGGCAGGGATCCGTACGCATTCAAAAAGATATAACATTTTAAAATCAGACATTATTTTCCCGAGATATTCAAAAAATATATTCAAAAAAGTTTCGATTTGCGAACCGACCCCGATTTTGAAAAAAAACGTGATGTAACCCCTTGCCTTTTTGTCGATTTGGGTCAAAATTTCGAATTCCCCTTTCTTAATGCCAATCGATAGTACTGATCCTTACGAGTCCAAAATGGTATAAAATTTCAAAATCTGACATTATTTGTCAGAAATATTCCAAAAAAACATCAAAAAAGGTTGACTTTACAAACGAATCGGTTTTTTGTCAACAACATTTTTTAACCCATCGATGTTTAATTTGTTTGAATGCCAATTGATGGTAGGGATCCGTACGCATTAAAAAAGGTATAACATTTTAAAATCAGACATTATTTTCCCGAGATATTCAAAAAATATGTTCAAAAAAGTTTCGATTTGCGAACCGACCCCGATTTTGAAAAAAAACGTGATGTAACCCCTTGCCTTTTTGTCGATTTGGGTCAAAATTTCGAATTCCCCTTTCTTAATGCCAATCGATAGTACTGATCCTTACGAGTCCAAAATGGTATAAAATTTCAAAATCTGACATTATTTGTCAGAAATATTCCAAAAAATCATCAAAAAAGGTTGATTTTACAAACGAATCGGTTTTTTGTCAACAACATTTTTTAACCCATCGATGTTTAATTTGTTTGAATGCCAATTGATGGTAGGGATCCGTACGCATTCAAAAAGGTATAACATTTTAAAATCAGACAATATTTACCCGAGATATTGGAAAAAAATAATCAAAAAAAATTAGATTTTCGAACCGACCCCGATTTTGAGAAAAACGTGCCATTTTGTCGATTTGGGTCAAAATTTCGAATTCCCCTTTCTTAATGCCAATCGATAGTACTGATCCTTACGAGTCCAAAATGGTATAAAATTTCAAAATCTGACATTATTTGTCAGAAATATTCCAAAAAAACATCAAAAAAGGTTGACTTTACAAACGAATCGGTTTTTTGTCAACAACATTTTTTAACCCATCGATGTTTAATTTGTTTGAATGCCAATTGATGGTAGGGATCCGTACGCATTAAAAGAGGTATAACATTTTAAAATACGACATTATTTTCCCGAGATATTCAAAAAATATATTCAAAAAAGTTTCGATTTGCGAACCGACCCGATTTTGAAAAAAAACGTGATGTAACCCCTTGCCTTTTTGTCGATTTGGGTCAAAATTTCGAATTCCCCTTTCTTAATGCCAATTGATAGTAATGATCCTTACGAGTCCAAAATGGTATAAAATTTCAAAATCTGACATTATTTATCAGAAATATTCCAAAAAATCATCAAAAAAGGTTGACTTTACAAACGAATCGGTTTTTTGTCAACAACATTTTTTAACCCATCGATGTTTAATTTGTTTGAATGCCAATTGATGGTAGGGATCCGTACGCATTCAAAAAGGTATAACATTTTAAAATCAGACAATATTTAACCGAGATATTGAAAAAAAATAATCAAAAAAAATTAGATTTTCGAACCGACCCCGATTTTGAAAAAAACGTGATGTAACCCCTTGCCATTTTGTCGATTTGGGTCAAAATTTCGAATTCCCCTTTCTTAATGCCAATCGATAGTACTGATCCTTACGAGTCCAAAATGGTATAAAATTTCAAAATCTGACATTATTTGTCAGAAATATTCCAAAAAAACATCAAAAAAGGTTGACTTTACAAACGAATCGGTTTTTTGTCAACAACATTTTTTAACCCATCGATGTTTAATTTGTTTGAATGCCAATTGATGGTAGGGATCCGTACGCATTCAAAAAGGTATAACATTTTAAAATCAGACAATATTTACCCGAGATATTGAAAAAAAATAATAAAAAAAATTAGATTTTCGAACCGACCCCGATTTTGAAAAAAAAGTGATGTAACCCCTTGCCATTTTGTCGATTTGGGTCAAAATTTCGAATTCCCCTTTCTTAATGCCAATCGATAGTACTGATCCTTACGAGTCCAAAATGGTATAAAATTTCAAAATCTGACATTATTTGTCAGAAATATTAAAAAAAAACATCAAAAAAGGTTGACTTTACAAACGAATCGGTTTTTTGT